TGTGTGTGTGTGTGTGTGTGTGTGTGTGTGTGAGTGTGTGTGTGTGTGTGTGTGTGTGTGTGTGTGTTGAAGGGTTTGTCAGACACCGTTGCCTGACCTGATGCATTCCACTGCCTTCCTTCCCCATCAGCCTGGCTCCACTGCCCTGTGGAATTGTGGGTAAGTCAGTGTTGGTTCTGTCTGGCTGCTTGTTGTCATTGGCGTCTGGGCTGAGCGAGCGAAGTTGGGAGACACTAACTCACACAGACACAGCAGGAGGCTGTTTACAGCCCAGCAGGAAATCATTAAATTAGGGTGGAGTCGCTCAAGCACTGGCCATCCCATTTACTTCATCAGACTGATCCGGGAAGGTAAAGACCCTGAGAGCATCGCCGCAGCTGCCAATCACTCACACACACCACTCTCTATACAAAAGGCCTTGTTTTGAATATTTATTGACATCAAAGAGCACATGAATTTTGCCCCAAACATGTAAAAGCGGGCTACTCTGAATTGTGCAACTCCTATTGTTCGTTTAGAAGATGCATGTTTGCTGTCCAAGTTGTCAGACATATTATATCTTGGATATACACTATATAACAGATTGCAGCTTACAGCAGTTAGTTCCAGTCCTTGGATTTGATAGGCTAAATCACTGAGACTTTTTGCTCTGTTTGTATGAGTTTCAGACAGACTGTCAGTCTGTGTGTTAGTGGTGGGGATTTTCAGTGTCTTTCTCTGCATGTTACATAGTTACGGCAGTAGGTAGCGACAAATTCATTTTTGTGAGTCATTGAATCATTCATTCAACCAATTGCTTTAAAGACACTGATTCATTCAGCAGAACATGTAACTGTAAAAATGAGTTCAAAAGCAAATAAACAAAAATAAATTAATTTCAGTGTTCAATTACCTAAACAATATGCATTTAGGCTTACAAATAAAAATGATATAGTATCAGTAATTTATCTAATAAATCAATTATTTACTTTAGCTAAAAAAATCATAATCTTCAAATAAAAAAAATTATCGTCAAAGAAACTCACTTAATTTTGACTTGAATTTATCTTGAAGAAAGAATCTTCTTTCCCCATTTAGACTCTTGAAATTTTTTCTAACAAATAAAAATGTTTCAAATATATTTTAAATGTATATAACTTCAAATCTTTATTGTTGTTGATTTTCAGAATATACATTTCCAAACAAAATAATACTTGAGTACACCAGGTCTTTATCAGCATGTTTCAAAGTTACACCAGTAGGTGGCGAGAAATTCATTTATGAGTGAATCATTCATTCAACTGATTCGTTCAAAGAAACCGATTCATTCATTCAGTGAAACAGGTGACTGTATTTCAGAGTGAGTCATTGAATCGTTTACTCAACCCATTCATTCAAAAGCACTGATTCATTCAGGAACAAAGCACCACTACTGCCTTTTGCTCTGAGATCAATTAATTGTTGGATCACACACAAAGTAACTGCAAATATTGTGTATGAAATGTAAGTTCCTTAATCATTATGCTCTTTAAATGCCAACAGAAAAATAAAAAAGAGTGAAACGTTCGGAAACCGGGGTCTATATATAACAACAACTCAACATAGTACGCTATAATTGTGTTAGAAATCAAAGTCATAAGATACACTTCATCTTGTAGTGCTTACTGCATACTGTCCAGTTTTAAGACCCAATAATGTCAGCGAGCAAAATGATGCGTGCTGTACATATCAACACTAATTACATTCTCCACTTCAAAACCATCAATGTAATAAAACGTAGTGAAAGGAAAATAAGTCCTAGTCCACCCACGCCCATCTGCTGTGGAATCACTGGCTCTTTTCCACACATGAAGAACTTATTCTCTTATCCTGCACTCAATTTATGCATTTTCTGCTGCTTTTGTTGCTGTTTATCCAAATAGCAGAGGGTAGTGTCTGTTTTTGCTCTTCTTTCATGTAAAGGCAGTGGTAATGATTTTCTGCTTTGTATTTGTTTTGTTCCCTCCCTTAATTAATGCCTCTTTTATAATAAAAACAAAGAGCTCTTTGAGACGCTGTCATTCAGAATCAGGCCTCTCTCTTTTCTGCTCTCCCTCACTGTTTCTTGGCTTTGTAAAGACTCTGTAGTTGATCTAGCATCTCTCCGATATTCAAATACAGCTTCATTTTGGACGCAAATAACGACAAAAGCACAAGTTGTTCTGCTAGTTTGACAGTTAGACTCGGCCTTCATCACCAATGAAGACATCAGACGGTACCACACATTCATTCATTCTACATTTTAATTGCATATTATCAAGACAAATCCTTGATTGTGTTTAAATAGCGCATTGCATGTTGACAGTCTGTTGCATCTCACTCCAAAATACAAACACTTTTATCCAAGCCGAAACATTCAATATTGAAAAGTGAATCCAAAGTCTGTTAGGAAAATCACAATTGCCAGAAAAGACGCTGAAATGGCAAGATTAAAAAGTATAGCTGTCTGGAGCATTCGTATGCATGTTCAAATGTTCCATAATTCTCAGCATCAAACATCTCTGACCCAAAAACTGGCTTCAGGGTCGTGTTAAAGTCGTGTAAACCGGCTGCTCCCAGCTTGCACCGGGACTGTGAGACGGACTCGACAAGCTGTTGAGAACAGGAGTCACATACGATCTTCTGGAGGAATGGAAGTACGGATATTGGTAAATGCCGGCGGGATACCCAGAAAATGTGGTGAAGTACGTTGAGTTCTGCTGGTCGGGACAGTCAGTGAGTTCAGATTGGGTCGGTGACCCGTGAGAGTCTCCGTAATGAGATGGACTCAATTGTTCTGTTTTAATGAGCGGCCTTTGTTGGTTTGGTGACCCCTTGTTCCATGCTGAAGCGCTGCTGTGAGGATGATGGTGGTAGGACGCGCTGAGACAGCCGGGACCGGAGTGCTGTCCGCTGGTGTTCTCCATGTGACCGTTTACCGGCAGGTACTGGTCAAACTCATGCACGTCAAACGGGCCCATGCCGCCGATGACGTCGCTGCTGAGCTCCGAGAGGTCCACAATGCCAAAGTCGATGTTGTGTCTTGCGTTTTCCGACACGTGCCGGGACTCCAGCTTCACGCTTTGATGCTGATCGGACTTCGGGGTGGTTGGAGGCGTGGGAGGACCGTGTGGTTGACCTGGGTTGGAAACATTGAATGTAAAATAACCATTTTTTCTTTGCGTGGAGAACATTTTCAAAATCTAAGACTCTTTTTCCACTATAAACAACCTTTTGTGGAATGGAAAGATTCCATGGATGCTAAAGGTTCTTCATGGAACCTTTATTTTTCAGAGTGTATTGGCATTGATGGTCCATGAGGAATCTTTAACATCCAACACTCTTAAAAATAAAGGTTCTTTACTCATTCAGTGGTTCCAATAAGACCCAATAACGTCCATGCACAAAAGGTCCTTTACAGTGGAAAAGGTTATCAGAGTGTGGGCAGCCATTTGTGCTGCGGCACCCGGGGAGCAGTTGGGGGTTCGGTGTCTTGCTCAAGGGCCCCTCAGTCGTGGTATTGAAGGTGGGAGAGAGCACCGGACATTCACTCCCCCTGCTGGTACGAAACTCGAACCCACAACCTTTGGGTTACGAGTCCAACTCTCTAACCATTAGGCCACGACTTCCCACTGTTAAATTAATCATTTGATACAATACACTTATTGTGTACATGCATGTTTTTATATTTGAAAATTCTATCTTGTACATCCGTAATTAATCTATGTAGTTACATCTGTAATTACACTGTTGTACCCCTTAAACCTAACCAAACCTGCCCCTAACTTTACCCGTAATGTGTCCACCTCAATAGCAGCAAAAGTGTTTTTCAATTCAACATGAACACAATAGGTACATTGCACCTATTCATTCTTTTATTATTAAGTGCATAGTATTGAATGACACCTAATATAAAGTGGGACCAATGGTTCTTTACACTCTTAAAAATAAAGGTTCTTTATTGGCATTGATAGTGCCATCAAGAACCTTTAACACCCATGGAACCTTTCCATTGCACAAAAGGTTATTTTTAATAGTTGAAAAAGTTACTTTAGATGATTAAAATGTTCTTTACACTTAGGAAAAATATGGTTCTTTCAAGAAGGTTCTTTGAGGAAGCAAAAAACGGTTCTTCTAGCGCATCACTGTGAAAACCCCTCGTTCCATTTATTTTTAAGAGTGTGGAACATTTCCATTGCTCGAAAGGTTCTTTTCAAGAGCTGTTTACAGGAAGGTTCTTTGAGGAACCCAACATGGCTCTCAGTGTAAGTGCAGAGGTGCTGTGTGAACAAGATGTTACTGTAGTTCTAGACTAAATGTGAACATGCATTTACTCATCTCACTTGCACAAAAACAGATTCAGTGTCCCTCAAAATGAATGAAAACAGTGCAATGCAAACCTGCAATAAATAACACAAATATCTTTTATGCATTTAATCACATTTTATGACTCAATATCTTTGCAGCCGACATTCGATGATCCAATTCAGCCATATTAATAAGCAAAAATGACTTAAAATAAACATGACATTTGTTTTTCTTGAACTTTCTTCTCCTGCATTCTTCATGCAATCCAGAATGGCTGAGGCGTATTCGTTTCACTTTTGGTTTGGTGTACACTTGCCAAAAATATTAATTTTTTATATTAAAAACAAATTAGCAAGCCCAGCCCAAATGAGAAAAAGTAACGCTAAAGTAACGTAACGCATTACTTTCCATAAAAAGTAACTAAGTAATGCAATTAGTTACTTTTTTAATGAGTAACGCAACATTGTAACGCACTACTTTTAAAAGTAACTTTGACCCCAACACTGATGGTTCTTCTATGGCATCGCTGGGAAAAACCCCTTTGTGGAAGCTTAAAAGAGTGTAGCCTAATAAAACGCATATGTCACACACCACAATTTGTAAGACAATCGATCTTTCATAAATCAGCTCACCACCATGGGCCGGTTGAAGGTGCATCCCTCTCATAGCCGCTTCCGTCTTGTACATTTGATCCGAGGGGTGAGGGGTCTTCTCGGCTCCCGCGTCCGCATCACTCTGACCCGGCTTCAGGCTCTTCCGCCTCCGCGGCTGGTACTTATAATCCGGATAGTCTTTCTTGTGCTGGAGTCGCAGTCTCTCTGCCTCTTCCACAAACGGTCGTTTCTCGCTCTCAGAGAGCAGCCTGCATGAGCCGTGCATGATCAAATGAACACAATCGTGTGAATGATGAACAAAAATATATCCAGATTTAACTGGTAGCTAGTTTCTGGCTGCTCTAAGCTGGTGCAGACCGTCTCAGTCCAGCAACAAATCGTTTACAAGCAGCTCCACAAGATATGCCATCTATTCCCTTAAAGTATGTACATTTCACTAGTACTGTAGTTAATGCAGTCTCTGTATTCCACCAGTTACTAGTACATATTCAGTTAGTAAACTGGTAACACTTTACAATAAGGTTTCATTCGTTAACTACATTAGTTAACATTAACTAACAATGCACAATACTTCTACAGCATTTATTAATCTTAGTCATCATTTAAAAAACACATTTTATTAGTTAATATTAGTTAATGCACCAACATTAAATTAACTATTATTGACTAGCAATAACAAAGATAAATAAATGTGTATTCCACCAGTTACTAGTACATATTCAATTAGTAAACTGGTAACACTTTACAATAAGGTTTCATTCGTTAACTACATTAGTTAACATTAACTAACAATGCACAATACTTCTACAGCATTTATTAATCTTAGTCAACATTTACAAACACATTTTTAAGATCAAAAGTTGCATCTGTTAATATTAGTTAATGCACCAACATTAAATTAACTATTATTGACTAGCAATAACAAAGATAAATAAATGCTGTAAAATATTGTTAGTTAATGCAATAACTAATGTTAACAAATTAAACTTTATTGTACAGTGTTACTGAACTTTCTTTGCTACTATACTCCATACAGTATGTGACTTTTAACAAATTGCTAATTTTCTGTTGTTCATAACTATTCACATCCGACTAGTGTGTATTCCGAATCGTTGCATACACTCCAGTTTTAACTATTCACTAGGTAATATACTTATGAGAAGCTAGTATCGATCTCATTCAACCGATTCCAACAGATACATTTGTTTTATTACGCGTTAAATAACTAATCTGAATTGCTGCATGGTTTACATTTGACTTCAAAATCCCACTACTAAGATTAAACATTCTAGTGTCTAATTCAAGTGCGTGTCTATTTAATTAGTACTGGGAAACTGGAGTAAATAGTAAGTAGCCTACTAGTATCTGATTTAGTTACTAGTGACTTTAAAAAGATACATTTGCCTTTTAAAATCAGTACTAGTAATATACAAAAAGCTAGTCAGTGTAAGGAGTGCTTGCCATTCACGAGCCCTAATGTTCTTCATTATTGCGCAAATACACTATGCATTGTGTAGCCTACATGATGTGCTGTAAAGTGTGATCCATCGATCTCCGTGATGCTGAACCGAAGTCCACGTACCTCCATAACTTCCCGAGGGTCTTGCTGAGCTCGGCGTTGTGGAGATGCGGATACTGATCCGCGAGCTTCCTCCGCGCCGCCTGCGCCCACACCATAAACGCGTTCATGGGTCTCTTCACGTGAGGCTTGTCTTTCAAAGACCTGCTGCCCTGCATAGACATCGGAACCAGCGACCAGTCATAGCCTTTGAGGACCTGCGACACCGCGTCTCGAATGCACGGGGGGAAGCGTGCGTCCTCCTCGCTGCTCGCCGGGTTACCGGCACCGGTTTGGGACTGCGAGCCTTGCTCGTCGGACATTGATGGAGAGGACGGAGAAGAGTCCACATCGCCGATTAAAGAAGGAGTTTTATCAGGCTCTTTCGACATTTTAAAAATGCGCAAACGAAGATAAACTAACGGTGACGACAAGAACGTTTACGCACGCGTTTTACGCGTGATTCAGAGCTCTAGAAAGCCGTATATTCCAAACCGACTCACTGGTTTCTTGAGTCTCGAGCCTCGGTCGATCGACACTGGTGAATGAACGGGCAACATTTCACAACTTCTTGGTAGGAGTGAAGTTTTTCTGAGGTCTCTGTAGTCTCGCGCTCCTCCTTCTCTCCTCTCATTGGAGGAGCAGCTTTGCTCGTCGGACCTTGATGGAGAGGACGGAGAAGAGTCCACATCGCCGATTAAAGAAGGAGTTTTATCAGGCTCTTTCGACATTTTAAAAATGCGCAAACGAAGATAAACTAACGGTGACGATAAGAACGTTTACGCACGCGTTTTACGCGTGATTCAGAGCTCTAGAAAGCCGTATATTCCAAACCGAGTCACTGGTTTCTTGAGTCTCGAGCCTCGGTCGATCGACACTGGTGAATGAACGGGCAACATTTCACAACTTCTTGGTAGGAGTGAAGTTTTTCTGAGGTCTCTGTAGTCTCGCGCTCCTCCTTCTCTCCTCTCATTGGAGGAGCAGCTTTTGCGCAACTTCTCCAATTGGTCTGTTCAGGACATCAGCAACTTTTTCAGATAATTGAACATAATTGACTAGCAAATTAGACCGTAAACCCATAAATGCACATGGGTTCCCTGAATAACCCAGCCTTCGCCCACTGTATGTTATGAAAACGCTCCTATAACTTAATGACTTGAATAAAACATTATAATATTTTGTATGTGAAAGATGGTTTTCACAGCACAAATGATTCTGTCGTTAAAATATTAAACTATATATATATATATAGTTTAGAATTAATTCAATACATTCAGTCAAGAGTTGTTGTTGTTTGGGGGGGGGGGGTATTTTAAATAGAACAGCATTTGTTTTCTATGTTTTCTGGTCTGTGGAGGTCTTTGACATTTCCACACGTGAATAAGTGAATAAGTTTGAAATGCACTTGGTTATTATTTTTCATGCTCGGATTACATAAAACATTGTGTGCATTGCTAATTCAAAACGAGACATTCTGCTTTGCTTTAGTATACATGAGTGCCTCCTGTTTTTTGTGCACATTTCTCCTGTTTCAGGCGCTCTGTGAGTGTGTGTGTGTGTGTGTGTGTGTGTGAGTGTGTGTGTGTGTGTGTGTGTGTGTTTGACATTTCCTCTTTCGGATGGTTGCCAGGGGTTTTTGGCTGTGTCAAGAATGGGCAGAGAAACTCTCCCTTGCCTTTTTGTCTCCTGTCAGCTGAACTTTTATAGAAGTGAATTGCAGCGAACAGCAGTTAAAGAGTTTTTAATTCAGCTGCAAGCAAGCGCCCATCTGATAGTGTGGAAGTAACATCTGGTCAAACTCCTGTCACATGCACCTGTGTGCTTTTTACAGTAATATTGCATACTTAGATGCTCTCGTGCATGACTGACACTAATTACCTGGAATCAAATTTAGATTATTTGGTCAGAATTTAAATGAGGAGAAATTGCCCTTGCCGTTACCTTCTGTATGATCATTTCTGCACTGCTGTAGAGTTAGAGTTGGTGATTTGTAAAAGGATTTGAAGAACTGACTGCTGCACACAACATATTCTTAAATAGACATGCGAGAATTTTGCTACAAAAGCATTTTGGCTATAAATTAGTGGAAATTACTTTATTTTATTTTTGCACATTTTAGTTTTTGCTTGAATATTTTTATTGGCGATGCTTTAAAGTGATGCATTTGGAGACAAAATGTATTTTTAATGTTGAGCTGCAGCAATAAAAACATTGAAATTTAAGAGACATTTAGAAATCACAATAGTCAAGTCTAGTTCTTATTCATCTAATGTTATTTTAAATGTAATTTTGCATTGTTACAGTTAATACATTTTAGTATTTAGTTTTAATGTAATTTTTACCCTTAAAAATAGCTAGGCTTAAATCTAAGTGTTATGTATTTATTTATGTTTTTGAGTTGTTTATAACATTTTTACTGTCTATTTAATGCTAAATTTAAGTTTTATGTATTTATGTTATGTATTTATTTATTTTATTTGAATATAACATTCCCATCCATTTAGATTACACATTTTTATCATCAACAAAGTAATAATCTGAATGTGATGCATATTTGTCAGTCATACATCAATGAAATGATTTCTGCACATAAAAAAAAACAATTTGCTATGATAACTATTTGCATGTTTGATTTTATTTAAATAATCATATTTTCAAAATGCATTCATTTAAATTGCTAAGAATCAGCATAAATCTGTTCATTGCGAACTCAATAAAATGCATTCAGTTAAAAAGTATGAGCATGGTTAAAATATGGTTAAGACTGAAAAACATGGGATTTATTGACAAATGTGACCTTAATGTGTCTTAAGTCGCTGGGGGATATTTGTAGCAATAGCCAACAATACATTGTATGGGTCAAAATTATACATTTCTCTTTTATGCCAAAAATCATTAGGATATTAAGTAAAGATCATGTTCCATGAAGATATTTTGTAAATCTCCTACCGTAAATATATCAAAACTTAATGTTTGATTAGTAATATGCATAGCTAAGAACTTCAATAAAAATATTTTCTCAATATTTAGATTTTTGTGCACCCTCAGATTCCAGATTTTCAGATTAATAGTTGTATCTCGGCCAGATATTGTCCTATCCTAACAAAGCTCATGTATTCAGCTTTCAGATGATGCATAAATCTCAATTTCAAAAAATGGACCTTTATGTCTGGTTTTGTGCTCCAGGGTCACATACTGTATATGCATCACATTTCATCATTAGTTTATGTTCATTTTATACAGTTAACAGTTCAGATACATGCATCTTAAATATTATTTGAGAACCGCTGAGCTCAAATGCATGCTGATGTTAAGTGTAAATGCCTGAATATGTAATTATTATTCCTTCAACAGTACATGTGTTTATTTGTTGCATGCTTAGCCTCAGTAATTCAGTCATGTGAATGATTTGATTCAACCACAGCAGCTTAAAAGTCAAAATGGCTCTAACAGATGGAAATAAACGCCTGATTCCCTTATGGTTTGGATCGATTTTAATTACATTTATTTGTTATTTAGCTAAATAAGTAAATGGCATATAAGATGTGAATTGCGATCATTAAAGCAGTGTGACACAGAGGCTCTTAATGCTGGCTTTATTTATTGGCCAGCTGATAGGTGGGTTGAGGGTGGGAGTCAGTCATTTTCACATTAGTGCAATCGCATTTTAGGGAGCGAATACTCATTCCAAGTTTCCTTATTACATTATCCTTAATGTCATAAATGCAAGAATGCACTTGATAAGCAGCAAAAGTACTGATGCAGTGGGATGTGAACTCTTGTCTGGGGAGAATGATCTGACTTTGGATCCCGTACTGAATGTTATGTTTAACCTCAGTGTATTGTGACTTAACATGTAGCTGGCTTTCCTGCTTGATTTGCTGCAGAGAGATCCAGATCACCTCAGGTTCAGAAAAACAGCTGTCAGGAGTTAAAATGTTTAAAATCTGCCACCAGTAATACAGCTGATGAGGAGAAGAGCGCTTCTATGTGTTTATGATGTAGCTCTTAAAGGGACAGTTCAGCCCAAACCAGAAAGTGTGTCAGTTTTTCCACTCTCACGTTGTTCTAAACCTTTAAGTCTTTCCTTCTGAGTGGAGGATATAAAAGGCATTATCTTGATAGTCCTGGCCTCAAAACTACAATTCAGTGGAAGAAAGAATATGTCAAATTTTCACTTTTTTGTTGCTTTAACCCTTTAAATAGGCCTCTAAATGATCAAAACGAATCTCTGCCATGTCTTCTGTCTCTGATTAATAGTTTAAATCAAAGCTCTTTTAGTGTAATTGTACGAACGTCCAGCTTCAGCTGGAGCTTCTCGTGTCAAATCTTGACTGATTTTGATCAAGTAAGCGTCAGAATAACGTCAGTAATATCTCCAGATGAACACTTACTGCACTGAAGCAGCTCAGCTTTACTTGATTCTCCATCAATCATGTTTTAGAGTCTCAAATCTGATCCTCAGGATCTTTTGAGGAGCGTTTGTTTCCAGAAGCTTTACTTTCACTGTTCCTCAGCGGAGGAATGATCTTCACAAGCCTCCAGAACATCTCACATCTGAGGAGGAGCCTTTATTTCTTCAGCTCTCAATCACTGCATTATATGTTTGGAGCATTTCAATCTCATCTTACTGAGACAGATTACTGGAGATATAGAGCGGCCACTGATATTTATAGCATTTTATGTTCGTATCTGATGTACTGTTAGAAAGATCTCACTGATTTACATCACAAGCATCAGAATTACATCATATAAATATCAGCATATGCACCAAATTCATATTTTTGCTCAGTTTGAGTCTGAATAAAATGAAGCTGTTTTTTCCCTCCATATTATCAGACTATATGAGCCATAAAATGGATCGAATATGATGCACAACAACAACAACAAAAAACATAAGCAATTAAAAAAAACATATTTCGTTTGAGCTTTCGGTAAACTGTTCCATTTAAAATGTTGAATGTTCGAATGATTGTTTATGGTCTATCAGAGGAGTGCAAGTAATTGTCAAGCTTCACTCTCCATATTATCAGACTATATGAGCCATAAAATGGATCGAATATGATGCACAACAACAACAACAACAAAACATAAGCAATTAAAAAAAACATATTTCGTTTGAGCTTTCGGTAAACTGTTCCATTTAAAATGTTGAATGTTTGAATGATTGTTTATGGTCTATCAGAGGAGTGCAAGTAATTGTCAAGCTTCACTTTCTGATGTAAAAGGGTTGTTTCAAATTGTGCACAAAATATAGCTGCTAGAAGCCTTTTAGAAACTGAAATATTAACAGAAACAGTCATTTACAGTGTATAAATATCATATGAGCAAAATGCCATCGATTGCAGCGTCTTTGAAATATTATTACTGATTGAAACTGGAAAAGCATGTGCTATGAAACAGACTGTTATTAGCGTAG